TTAAGAGTCAATTCCATTCCTGTGGATCTAGAGACTCATATATAGACCAGGTCTCCTTAGAGTAAAGGGAAGACCATTCAGAACAGAGATAAGGAGAAATTTCTTCAGCCAAAGAGTAGTGAATCTATGGAATTCACTGCCACAGAAGGCTGTGGAGGCCAGGCCATTGAGTGCTTTTAAGACTGAGATAGATAGGTTCAAGGGGTTCAAGGATTACGGGGAGAAAGCAGGAGAATGGGGTTGAGGAACTTATCAGCCATGATTGAATGGCGGAGCAGACTCGATGGGCCGAATGGCCTAATTTCTGCTCCTATGTCTTATGGTCTTATGGTCAGATGAGAAAGGCTGGTTTCCTTCCCTAAAGGAGATTAGTGATGGGGATTTATGGCTATCAACAGTGGTTACATGGTCGCTGTTGGATTAGCTTACTTTATAAATGTGAGATATTTACTGAATGCACCATCTGCCATGATGGGATTTAAACTAGGATGGGATTTCCCTAGAACATGAGATTGGGGTTCTAGATCACTCCATCAGTGACATTAAAACCTATTTCATCCGGTGCTTCCGATGTGGTTTTCTCTATGTCGGTGAGACCAAACGTATGCTAGATGATTGTTTCGCCTTGTGTCTCCACCCTGGCCTGTAATGGCCAGCCTAACCTCCCGGTCACTGCCCATTTCAACTCCCCGTCCCATTCCCCCTCCGACATGTCCATCCTTGGCCCCCTCCAGTGTCTCGGCTACTCGCAATGCAAATTTTAGGAACAACACCTTATCTTCCGCCTGGGCACCCTACAGCCCCGACGACTCAACATTGAGTTCTCCAATTTCAAATAACCTTCCCACCCGTCCCCAACCTCCGCTTCCAGCCCCACTTCCCCTTCTAGCCCCATCTCCTCCCTTCCATTCCACCTTCTGACGCCCTCCCTTCCAGCCACCAACAGGGATTTATTCCTCTCATGACCAACCAGGTCATACCTACCACCAGTGTCCACCTACTGCCACCATTCTGCCTCCACCCCTTCCCCCTCTCTTTATCTGCAACTCCCCCTACCCCCACATCCAGTGCTGAAGAATCCAGCATCTGCAGTTTTATTTTATCTCTGACATTAAAACCTCCCCTGATATAGGTCAATAAATGATTGTGGGGCGACCTATTTTCCCAGTGGAGGTTTGTCCCTCCAATCCAACTAGGGAGCAAGGGGAATCTGGCACCTCCTATAATTCAGCCTTCTAGATCATTTGCACCACCCTACTCTCCACACCCCCACGACACCCCCCACCCACCACCACCTCCCCCGCCCCACCCGTCCCCGCCACCCCTCCCTCCCCAATCCCCAATTACGCTGAGCACTGGCTCAATGGTTAGCACTGCTGCCTCACAGCGCCAAGGACCTGGGTTCGATTCCACCCTCAGGTGACTGTCTGTGTGGAGTTTGGACATTCTCCCCGTGTCTGCATGGGTTTCCTCCAGATACTGCAGTTTTCTCCAAGTCTAAAGTTGTGCAGGTTAGGTGGATTGGCCATGCTAAATTGCCCCTTGTGTCCTGGGATGTGAAGGCTAAGTGGATTAGCCATTGGGAAATACAGTGTCAGAGGGATTGGGTAGTGGGATGGGTCTGGGTGGGATGCTCTTCAGGGGTTGGAGTGGACTCAATGGGCTGAGTGGCCTGTAACGATTCTATGCAAAAGCTCTTGCTCATGATGGTAAGCGTTTGGTAGGTGCTGGGGAATGACCCTGACTGTTGTACCACTCCTGTACAGGGCACTCAGTCAACCAGCTGTACCTTGGTACTATGGAGCACTCCGCAAGCCTGCTGGTTTTAAAGTTACCAGCTCGTGAGCATGAGTGCAAAGAGTTAAGCTGTTTCAACACAATCATTCCACAGCAGGCTTTCTACTTAGTGAAGCACCAGCAAACTGATCTGTTGCCAAGCAATGCAGAGCAGGTTAATAAATATTGTCAGCTGTAACTTGCGCTAACAAAATCTTGCTGCTACTGCATGTTAAGGAATTGTCCGTCAGACCTTGTAAAACGCTTCTCATTTTACGTAAATTGGAGAGACTGGGCTATGAAGCAGAAACCACTTGAAAAGGGGCAATAAATATACTGGTGTTTTTTATTTTGCTTTTCACACTCAGTGGATGCTGCACAATGGCTTGCTGCCAGACAAGGTCGTGTCGCTGATGTAGGGAAAGTGGCAACTGCTTTGTCTGCAGCAAGGCCCCACAGACATCAGTGTGACCTGTGAGCAGATCGATGATTTTAGGATGGCTGATGGACAGACAGGGCTCGGTAGTCAGGACTTCAAGGGAGATATCCGCTGCTGTTCATCAAATAGTGACATCCAGCTAAGGGGGCAAGTGGGCCAAAGGGATAACTGTCTCATCTGAAGGACAACACCTCTGACAGCAATATTCCCTCATATACTCCACTGGGAGTGTCAGGTTGCATTCTGTACCTTGAGACTCTCGAGTGGAACATGAATCTCCCTGATCAAACAAGGAATGCTGTTACTGGGCCTTGGCTGACCATAAAGTGTCTTGGTAGTTTTACAAAGCAGATCTGTTACTCTCTTCCCTACAGCCTCTTCTCTTTCCCTCTCTCTCTCTCCCCCCACTCCTTGCCTCTTTCCCTTTTGTCTCTCTGTCTCTCTCCCTCTCTACCTCTGCCCCTCTGTCCCTCTCTACCTCCTTCCCTCATTGCCTCTCCCTCTCTGTCCTTCTCTCTATCTCTTTCTGCTTCTCTCCCTCTCTCTCCCACTCTGTCTCCCTCCAACTCTCCCTTACTTCTTCTTTGTCTCTCTGTCCCCCCCCTCACACACACATCCACCCTCATCCCTATCCTCACTCTCTCACTCTCCCACTGTCACCTTCCACAATCATGCTGCTTAACCCAATTCTGCTGTTTCTGATGTTTAACACTTTCATATCTTTTATTTCGATGTTTAGCTCAGGTTGTGTTACAGTCCCTGCATTAGAGGTAGGGTGACTGGGACCTGAAGCAGTCTGCTTTCTCTCCACAGGTGCTGCCAGACCTGCTGAGTTTCTCCAGCAATTGTGTTCAAATCTCACCTCCTGCCATGTTCAGATTTGAATGTGGGTCACCAGGACATTGCCTGAGTCACTGGATGTTTAATCCAACATCAACATCACTACGCCATTACCTCACTCCAATTAAGTTTTTTTCTGATGACATCAGCGCTGTGAATGGTTGAAATTATGAGGTAAAAACAGAGAAAGAGCTGCAGGTCATTGCTTTATTGTATGTGGTTTGAGAGTGAGTTCATGGACAGCACTCAGTTATTTTCTCTTTTTCGTTTATTTATTCAAAGTTGAGAACAAAAATGAGTGTATGACCCTAGATTTGGATTCACTTGGGATAGTTGGGCACGCCAAACTCTCTCGCTCTCTTTCTCACTGGCTGTCTCTTTTTCTCTCTCTCTCTCTCTCAAGTTTTTTTGAAGCTTAGCTCGAGTGCTTGAGCCCAGCTGGGAAGCCTTTGGCTTCCTGCACAGCTGTATGCAGGCAGTTGGATGTCTGCCAAACATTGTAATAATCAAATCAGTTCAGTCAACCTTGGGGAATGATTTAAGGTTTGCCCCAGGGGAGGGATTGGAGTTGGAGTGGGGGGTGGGGGAGGGGTGGGGGTGTTGGTGCTTGGGCGCTGTGTGAGAGGAGCTCTAATAAATCAGGTATTTTGGGAATAGTCCCTTTGTAAAGGAGAAAATGCAAAAAAAAGATTTTTGTAACAAATCAACTTTTGTGCCACATGATGTTTACATATTTAGTTAGATGTCACATTGGGAGCGTAATTGTCTTTCCCCATCTCTCTCAGTCCATCTCCTATCTCGTCCCCCACTATTCTCCTCTTGTTCACCCACAAGAGAATGAGGGCAGGTCTGTCCAGCATGGTCAGTGACACGTTAGGCAAGTATGTATGTTGCTGTCAGGTAAAAAGAAAGACTCTGAACTTCATGTAGCGATTTACGTAGCCTCAGGATGCCTTGAAGCATTCAATAACTAATTAAGCGCTTCTGAAGTGTAACCGTTGTTGTAATGTTCTGAGGAAATTTGATAGGCAGTGTTCAAAATCACAAAGTGTTTCAATGGAGTAAATAAAGGACAGTTGTCTGCGGTACCAGATGGTTCAATAACCAGAGGGGACAGGTTTAAAGTGAATGGCAAAAGAGCCCAAAGAAACACGAGCGAAGAACTTTTACGCAAGCTGTTGTGATTTGGAATTTGCTGCCTGAAAGAATGGTGACAGTTGGAGCAATGGCAATTTTCAAAAGGGAGCTGAATAAATGCTTAAAAGGAAAGTCTGACAGAAGTGTGGGCACTGAGGGGAGGACTGAGATTATTAGGAGAACTCTACCTGACTGGTAGGCCCAAATAACCTCCACCAGTTGATGTGAGGGTTTGTGCCTCTAACATGGTAGTGAATTTGCAGCCAGCAAGCTCCCACTGTGTAGACTAAATCATCTATTTTTGTTGAATTGCTGCCCAGACCACAGGGTGGTTGCTCCATCTCTGCCTGGGTCCTTTCCCCACATCTGAGAGGGTAAGCAGGCCTTGGCTTGGTGTTTTAACTGAAAGGCAGCACTTCTGATGCCTGTAGTCATGAACTGGAGTGTTAGTCTGGAATTCGCGAGAACAGGGCTTTAATCCACAAGCTTCTGACTCAAAAAAAGCATGTGTTTTACCAGCTGAGACACGACTGACACAAATGCAATGTTTGGCCTTTGTTGTGGTGTAGCCTCGCATGTTATCTCGGTTTGCGTATGAAGGCGAGGTAAAGTGGGTAGCTGACACAGGGGTGTCATGGCCCACCACGGAGGAGTGGAGAGCCACCAGCGTTGAGGAAAACAACAAGAATAAGTATTAACGGCTGTGGGTATTCACAGTCTGCCTGTGCTTGATTAACTCTTTCCTTTTTAAAAAGGTTGTGTGTGTGTGTGTGTGTGTCTCAGACTTGTGTTCTCTGCTGTTCCTCAGGCCTCAGTATGGGGGAAAGTTCTGCCATGGCTCCAGCCGGCTGTATCAGATGTGCAACGTACAGGCCTGTCAACACAACGGCATCCTGTTTCGAGACCAGCAATGTGCTGAGTACAACAGCAAGCCCTTCAGGGGCTGGTACTACAAGTGGAAGCCCTACACAAAGGTCAATGGTAAATATTTGAATGTGGCCACTCACACTTTGGGAAGAGGAACGAGTGCAGAATTGTGTTCCAAACTTGTGCCCAGCTAAAATACTAGGACATTCCATCGAATTTCACCATATTGTAGCAGACCATTTTCCTCCATTTTTCTTCCATTCTCTCCACCAACCTCTCCTCACATCCATGTTTATGTCTTGCACTATGTAGAAAGGACCCATTCTGTCCCTTTCACACCTTAATTTGCACCCATTTTGCACCATCTTTCTCCACCATGAACAACTCTGTGTCTCTTTTACACTGGGCATCTGCCTCTGTCTAAAGTGTCTGAAAAAAAAAATTCCATTACCTTTCAGTCCTGAAGGAGAGTCATAGTGGACTCAAAATTATAACTCTGTTTCTCTCTGCACAGATGCTGACACACCTGCTGAGTTTCTCCAGTGTTGTCTCAAATTTCCAACATCTGCAATATTTTGCATTTATTAGACCATTTCACCGAATTGATTCAAAGCAGAAATCAGTGGAAAAGTTCAGCGGGTCTGGCAGCATCAGTCGAGAGAAATCAGAGTTCATGTTTTGCGTCCAGTGACCTTTTCACAGAACGGATCACCCAATTGATTGGTACTGAGCTTACTCCTACTCGACTTCATTTTATCATCGTCAACCACATTCCATTCTCCCTCACATACCTCCTTCATTATTCACTTTGCGTCCTCCTTAGGAGCAAGCTCCACATTCTCACCACTGTCTGGGTTGAGATGTTTTTCCTTTATCTTTTTTGTATTTAGAAGAATATTTTCTATTAATGACATCTTGTTTCAGGCTCCCACACAATTGGAAACGTTTTCTCTGGATCTACCTTACTGAATTTTCATAATTATAAAGTCCTTAGTCGTATTGCCCTCTCACCCTTTTCTACTCGGGAGGAGTCACAGCAAAAATATTCCAAAATAAGAACTTAAGAAATGTGATCAGGAGTAGACCACAAGGACCCTCTGAAGCCTGTTCTGTTATTCAGTATGATTGGGGATGGCCTTCTGCCTCAATGTCCCTCTGTCTTCCCCCTCCTCACCTCTTTGTTCCCTGACACACCAAAGTAATACCTATCTCAGCCTTCCTGAGGGAAGGTAATGGCCTAGTGGTATTATCGCTGATCTGTTAATCCAGAGACCCAGATACCGTTCTGGGGACCCAGGTTCAAATCTCGCCACAGCAGGTGGTGGAATTTGAATTCAATAAAAAATACGTGGAATTAAGAATCTAATGATGACCATGAATCCATTGTCAATTTTCAGGAAAAACCCATCTGGTTCACTAATGTCCCTTAGGGAAGGAAACTGCCATCCTTACCTGGTCACGGCGTCTATGTGATTCCAGACTCACAGCAATGTAGTTGACTCTAACCTGCCCTTTGGGCAATTAAGGGTGGGCAATGAATGCTGCCCAGTCAGCAACACCCTCATCCCATGAATGAATGAAGAAAAAATATATAATGAACGGTGGGAGATCCACAACCCTGTGGGCCAACCCTGTTAGCCAAAATTATGTGCACTCACAAACCTGACTGTATTCGATATGCATATGAAGTGTGTACCTGGTAACCTCTTCCTCCAAGCTCTGGTGAGTACAAACTTCTGCACTTACTTGACTTCATCGCAACTGAGGAATTTCTTTGAGTGAACACTGCCAGTGTCAGGGGTGAAGCTCCACTAGGTGGACCATCTCATGAGAAGGCTCCATCGTATGCAGTCTTGTCATTCTGAAACGTTTACAAAGCTGTATGAGACCATTAGCCAGCCTGAGCGAGGCAGCCACACTGACTGAGTTGGGGGGGCAAGTGGGGTCCAACTGAAAAGGGGTCAGCAATGGAGAGGCGGCTCAAACAGGAAAGGTCCATGGAAAGTTGGGCTGGGTGGAAAGGTCCAGCAGGGAATTGAACTTAAAGGGCGTGGTGGTCAGGGGTCGCTGGAAGGATCTTGGGATTGGAGGAAGAATGCGAAGGGACGAATCATAGAGACAGGGGCAAGGAGAACAAGGAAGGGTTGGGAAGTACATGTTTAGGGTGGGGACACCAATGGGAGTAATTTGGTATGCGACTTGCGGAGGAGGAACAGAGAACTGAATGAGGTGTGGTGTAAGAGTAAGGTTAGGCATGGGCACCTGGATGGAAGTAGGAACAGGAATATAGAGGGAGCTAATGAAATAGCCAATAATCGCAGGGAGAGCTTGAAGGGATAACAGAAGAAAGGAAGAGAAAGCCATCTGCAGTTGGTGATGGTGGTGGGGCAGTGTGAGGAGGAATGTTTGTTAGTCATGGAGTGAGTAGTGGGTTAAAGAGTCAAGGGAAATGTGTAGAATCACTGTCTTTCTCAAGATAATTTCTCACACAACTAGAGAAGAAATTACTTACATCTGCCACCTCCAACAGGCAGTTCTGTAGCTGCTTGGGTAGGGGGTGCAGCAATATGCTTCTGGCACTGAAGGTCACACCTGCACTGAGCTCCCTCGCCATTGGTTCCTTTCAGTCTCCCAATGGACTGCCTATATGGTCATTTGTGACTTCACCAACACCCTTTACAGGAAAGCAATGCTATTGTCCAAATCACACGGACCCAGGGAGTTGAGCCTGAGTCAGTGGATTTGCAGCCATTGCTGGATTGCCTCAGGTTCAAGGCCATTAACTGGATTTGTGATGCTCAGTGCTCCCTTGCATTGCTGAGATATAAAGAGGCTACACTATCCGAATTGGCTGTCAAAACCCAAACATCTTTCTTAAGTTGCCAGTTTCCAGAGGACCGCAGAGAATGACAACCTTAGCACTGTGTGTATTTCTACATATGATGTGCTCACTTAGGATGACCTTTGCATTTCAATGTAATCTATAAAACTAATATAAATCATCAGAAGTTTTACCTGATTGAAAGAGGCACAGCATTATCATACAAAATGTTTTAATTGTTATAATTCCAATGCAACAGATTCTGTCAGGCCATTTTGTGTTGACCCCCATAGCCAACCTCTTTCCAAGCTGCTTTTATCAGCTGGCCTGGTTCCTGTTGCTGTCTCTTCGGAAAAGCATTTCTGTTCTCTCCTGGACTGTCTTCAGCAGAATATCTAGGGAGGCATTGCTGAACCTGTGGTGCTGGTTTTGCCAGAATACCTGATATCTCCAAGAGTGGGAGAGGATGATGAGCAGAGGGAGAGTGATGCCCCTGGGTTGCAGAGAGCTATGTGTGGCCCAGCTGCCTTTCGATTGTGGTGCTCTGAAGTTTGAGCTCAGAAGGTTCAGCAGAGGGCAATACATCCTGCCCATAAAATTTTAGCCATAATACTAGAAGACCATAAAATGCAAGGGCAGAATTAGACCATTCAGCTCAAAAAGTCTGCTCCACCATTCAATCATGGCTGATTTGTTCCTCGACCCCATTCTCCTGCCTTCTGCCTGTAACCTTTGATCCCCTTACCAAACAGGAACCTATCTACCTCTGTTTAAAATACACTCAATTACTTGGCCTCTGCAGCCCTCTGCAGCAATGAGTTCCACAGATTCACCCCCCTTCTCTGGCTGAAGAAATTCCTCCTCATCTCAGTTCTAAAGGGTCGTCCCTTCACTCTGAGGCTGTGCTCTTGGGTCTTAGTCTCTTCTACCAGTGGAAACATCTTCTTCACAGCCACTCAATCCAGGCTTCTCAGTATTTTGTAAGTATCAATCAGACATCCCTCATCCTTTTAAACTCCATCGAATACAGACCCATAGTCTTCATCCGCCTCTCATATCACAAGCCCTTCATCCCTGGGATCATTCTTGTAAACCTCCTCTGGACCCCCTCCAACACCAGCACATCCTTTCTTGAGTACAGGGCCCAAAACTGCTCACAATATTCCAAATATGGTCTGAACAGAGCCTTTACAACCTCAGCAGTACATCTCTGCTCTTGTATTCTAGCCCTCTTGAAATGAATGCTAACATTACATTTGTCTTCCTAACTGTTAACCTTATGAGAATCCTGAAGTAGGACTCCCAAGTCCTTTTGTGCTTCAGATTTCTGAAGCCTTTTTCCATTTAGATAAGTGCCTACATTTCTATTCTTCCTACCAAAGTGCATAAGCTCACACTTTCCAACGTTGTATTTTTTTTGCCAAATCTTTGCCCATTCTCCTAGTCTGTCCAAGTCCTTCTACAGTTTTCTGCTTCCTCAACACCACCCATCCCTTCACTATCTTTGTGTCATTTGCAAACTTAGCAACCGTGCCCTCTATCCCTTCATCCGGATCATTAATGTACAATGTGAATAGTTGTGGGCCCAACACTGGCACATGTGGCTGTCATCCTGAAAAAGACCCTTTTATCCCCACTTTCTCCCTTCTGCCAGTCAGCCAATCCTCTGTCCATGTTGTTACCTTGCCCCTAACACCATGGGCTCGTATGTTATTTAGCAACCTCCTGTGCAGCATTTTCTCAAAGATCTGCTGGAAATCCAGATAGATCATATTCACTCACTATCCTTTGTTTAACTTGCTTGTTACCCCTCAAAGAATTCTCACAGCTTTATCAGACACGACCTCTTTTGACAAAGCCCTAATATCTTGCCAACAACCAAAGTCAGGCTAATTGGCCTATACTTTTCTGTCTTCTGTATCCCTCCCTCTTTTAACAGAAGTATTACGTTAGCCAATTTCCAGTCTCTAGGACCCTCTCCAACTCGAGTGATGATTGAAAGATCACTATCAATACTTGTACCATCTCCTCAGCTATATCCTTCAGAACTCTAGGGTCTGGTCCATCCAGTCCAATGATTTATCCACCTTCAGACTGTTCAGCTTCCCCACCATCTTCTCCTTCCTGATCATCACTACACTCACCTCTGCCCCCTGACTCTCTTGAAGTGCTGGTATGTTGCAGGTGTCTTTCACTATGAAGACTGATGCAAACTACCTATTCAGTTCTTCCTCCATTTCTTTGCTTCCCATTACTACTTCTCCAGCCTCATTTCACAGCAGTCCAAGATCCA